CGACAACATGAGAGCAGACCTCTCGGCAGACATCCAAGCATAAGAGCCGATTGAGGCAAGCATCCTCGACAATATCATTGATCCGCCATCGAATTTCCTTGACCATCCAGATTACGACCCCGACGAGGATTCAAGATGGATTAAACAGTCTGATGATTGCCGCGTGTATTGTTGGACATCGGCGTTATTGGTGGATTCGCCTATGATCAAGATGAAGCAGATCATCGAGCTACACAGTGGCGCAGACAGAATCGTAATGGACAAAATTCAGTCACATTTACAATTTGAAATTCGATTAGGATCGAAAGCATGGAATGCGGAGTCATACCAATTGAACTACAATCATACCCACAAGTGGGCACGTGACTTACCTAATTGTGGTGCAGATCATTTCTTCAAAAAGTTGGTACACTACCTCGACCCAGAGACTATCGAGGAGTCGACCACAGGCATCTTTCAATGGATTTCCAAAGTATACCAGAACATCTTGAAAGATATTATTGCGGAGCTTCCAGATTTCGCCAAAGAGGCCATCCATGAGAACCGTCCTGCACTTCAGGCATTGCGTGACCTATTCAAAAATTGTACTGCGACATACGGTAATCCAGATTTTCCTGTGTGGGAAGAGCTGGTGGAAACACCTGCTGCGCCTCGAGAGCAAGGCGCTGAGCAGGATATTCCCCAGGACCCAGGCAGTGTTGCCTCTGCAGCTCCCGATCAGGAAACTATGGTACGTATCATAGCCGAGCAGACGGGACTCAAGCGCGAGGAGGGCGACAACGAGGCTACCTTGCAGGAGCAGGCTCGCCGTCTTCGTGAGGAGAACGTATGCCATGGCGGTACTGAGGATACCGACAACATCAAGATATAACACAAAGGACTGCCAGGGGAAAGGTTGTCTCGGATCGAGATCGAGGGTTTAAGCAGATCGATCGCTTCCAGACCGAACACCGAGATCAATCGTGAGGCGATCAATCAGATCGGTCAGAGCCTCGCTCGCGGTCAGGACACCCGCTGGGGATCCCGCGATCACCTGACTTCGGCAGGGGCCCCCGAGACGATCTTGCATCCCATGCCGCTCTGTCAGAATTGCGGTCGAGATCTGTCCCTCGGGATTGTCACAGGTGACGGCGCACTTTGCGATATCTGTTGGCAATACACTGTGGCCGTAGGCGCCACAGGCAAGAGCACCGCCACACAGAGCGATCTCGCGTACCTGCAGAAGCTGACGAATTGGATCAAGGCGACACTCTCGGAGGACCACATCGCGAGATACATGAAGGACGGTGCGCACGTCATTATGACGGGTGCGCGATCGCACATAGGCAACGAGAAAGATCAGTTGCGGAGATTGGCCAATGCGTCCAAAAGAGGTATCAGAAGTGGGTCGAAGCCGGTAGCCCGCCTGCACACGAGTGCAGATTAATGGGCGAATCCGAGGACGACCGACCTCTGTACTACCCATTCGCCAATATCATACAACGCTTTCTCAACGACCTCAAGTTCCATCATCAGATGACAGGTGCCCGCGTGAATGTCGGCAAGAAGCCCTGGACCGTCGAGGACATGCGCGACGCGTGGGACATCCTTGACGTCAGCATAAGGACAGGACAGGCTGGTCGGAGAAAGTGGTGGCTGAACGAGGGACGCATTGACAGGCAGACGCGGCAGGCGCGCGGACTGGTTACGGTTTCTCTCCCTCGAAGGGACGGAACCCGTGAACAGTTCACCCAGCGCAAGCTTGCCGCGATCGCCAACGAACTGATAGGCTCCCTCGATCCGTCACACACCGACCAGAGGGGGGTTAGTACAGGGATGAGAACCGACCCCGATACACAATCCCAACAGTCCGATGACGCCATGGAGCCGCGGCCGCCGCCGCGCCCGCCGCCGCGCCCTGCTCCTGGCGACGCTGCTGCGTCCAGCGCCTCAGGCGCGGAGGACTGCGCGCCCGCGATGCCGCGCGCCAAGAGAGCACGTACATCTGATTACGCTGCTTACTGGCGCTACGACCTCGAGGACAGCTACTGGGGTCTTCGATACTGGAGTCGCTACATCAAATGTTGGATCTACATTGCGATCAACAACGACGAGTATGTGTACATCCAGGATATCACGTACAACGATTGGTTCCGCAACTGGATCCCGAGGACAACTTGGGAAACGTTTACGACAAGCTACGCGATGTACAACGGCCGGAGGGTGTGGGACCGCAGGTTCTACAAGGACGGCGACGCGTAGTGAGTCGGCCGCAAGGCCCACCGCTCAAGAGCAGAACTTTCTTCCATTAAAGTTCGCCTTGAGCGGTGGCTAATATATTCTTTTAGGCCACTTCAATCATTCACACAAGTGGCCATACACAAACATATATATCTTCTGCGATCACCGAGGCAGCCTCCTAAGGAGCAACGCCAACGGGAGTCGCCAAACAGATTTTTATACATCCTTTTTCGTGTTCATCAACACGACATTTTGTCTGGCCAGACACTTGCTTTACACAGATTTGCGTTTCTTTTCAGGATCGTGTTCGTCAACGCGATCTTAGCGTACATTTGTTTTTAGGCAGACTTGTGTTTCATTTCAAGATTGTGTTCGTCAACGCGATCTTAGCATGTATATTTTAACAATTTGAACAATATTGCGTCGAGAATAATCTGATGGCTGGTGGCAACACCTGCCTCGCAAATCTTGCGAGGCAGATTGCATGTTGCCTTAGTGCTCAGATCTTCTTTCTCCGCCTACCCTTGTCTCATTCTTCTCCTCCCTCGAGCGCCGAAGCGTTTTTGGGGGGCGCACCGAGGGGGCGCCAAAGTGCGCCTGGAGATGAAGGGGGGACTTAGGGTATCTCTTCTTACCTCACTTTGCAGCTGTGGCTTCGCTGATTTTAAGCCCAGCTGCCTTCTGACTTAAGGACTAAAGGAGTTCAGAGGTTACGGATACCTTTCCTCTGTTCCCGAGTCCTGCCTTAACGGGCGGGATTCGGGACGGGGGGTGTGAATGGAACCCGTGTAATACCCTCATATATACTCCTTATCCTTACCTCTCCCGCACCTGGCCGTTTGGGTTCAGGTACTGAGTTGGAGCGATCGTACCTTGATCGCGTGGGAGGGAAAGATATCCATCTATCCCTCCATCTCTCTACCAACGGATCAGGGGTTCTGTACCCTTGTACTTCAACCCCATACACAACAGCAGCCCAACCCGAAGGCTTCCATCTGCCCTCCAATCTGCACTGGGGGGGGGGGGGTCGGGGTAACAAGGACAGGACATACATACGGAGCCCAATCCCCCACGTCCCCGAAATTGGGATCGCGGTGCTCGCGTTGGGGTTGGGGTGGTCTGGTGGGTAGCGGTGACCGGGCCAACGATTGGTTGGCGGCCGCCCTCTCCGCCTTTATTGCTGCTGTACAGTCGTACAGTTCGGGGCCCTGAAGAAGGAAACGCTTTTCGTTAGGTGGGGAGGGGCGCGGTGTTCCTTGATTTTTTGTTTGTGTTTTTTTTGTTGTTGTTTTACTGGTGGCTTTGTTTTTGTTTGTGGTTTCACAGCATGCATCATGTTTGCATTCAATAATGTCTTATGTTTTCCGATAGGAAATCGAAGTTTAACTTTGTGTAGGAAAAAAAAGGGGCCTCGTTCCTTATTTCGGGTTTCCTTAGGTCAAGAACCTCATCTGTTGGAGCCAGAGGAGTGGGGGCCATGTGGCAGAGCGGAACGGCGCGGCAAGCGCGAGAGAGAAGTTTCCCGGCCCGGGCAGTGCCGCCTGCCCGCCCCGGGAGGCCGCTTCCGCAGTGGTCCCGGGGTGTGGCGTCGCTCGGCCGCGCGCATGTCTAAAACGACGCGAGGATCGGGACAAAATCGGATCGGGGTAACTCGAAATCTCTGAGAATCGGCGGGTTTGGAGGATGTATTGGGCGCCGCGGCCGCTCCAGAGCGTTCCGGAACGCGCTGAGAGCGTTCCGGAACGCTCTGGAGCGATTTATCACGATCCTAGCCTTGTTTTACTAATGGCGCCGACATCGCAGAGCGGATTTTGTTCAAGCAGTGACGAAGCGTCCTGGCGTGCCTGTAGCCCTACCAAGCAATGTGCTAAGAAGCTTTTGTGGTTTCCACGAAATGTTCTCAGAACATGTCTTGCTGGGACTGTCTTGCTGTAACACATCGGGTTCGTGTTCTGAGAGCATTTCTTGTTAGGACTATAGGAATGCCATGACGGTCGGTCCCAGCTCAATTCGTTCGAAAAACGACAGGATGGGCCCGGAGTGTCCTGGAGAATTTCGCTCCGGATTGCGAGGTGAGTTTCGCGCGGATCCTTCTGGCCAGGAGCGATGACTCACAAAAGGCCCACGCGAAATTCACTCCGTTTTTCACTCGCCGCTTCGGGCTTTTGCATGGACAGGAATCCACGCAAACATCCGCTGCAGCACGCCTGCAAGTCAGGGGTGGACAGACCTCCTAACAGTGACACGTCGATTAGTGGATTGTCCGTTTTCGGTTCTCGAGAGGGCGCCGCGGCCGTTAATTTCCAGGCTTGCGCCCGCCAGGTTTGGGCCCCAGGTCGTTTTCACTAAACCACGTTCTACTAAAGGGAGGTCTGTCCATCCCCGGGCAAGGTCGGGGCAGTGACATTGTTCTGTCTCGGCGAGGGCCCTCGAGGAGCAGCCCGGCTCGCCTGGCAGGCGCGGCGCGCGCGAGGCCGAAGAGCGCACACGGGGCGTGGGCGCCCGAGCGATGGCCGGGGGAGGGAGGGGAGGGGGGGGAGGGGAGGGGAGGGGAGGGAGGGGGGGGATGGTCCAAGGGGAGGAGGGAGGAGAGGAGGGGAGGGGAGGGGAGGGGAGGGAGGGAGGTGAGGCAAGGGGAAGAAGGGGGGAGTGAGGCAAGGAGGGAGGGCGGGAGGGAGGGAGGGGAGGGGAGGGAGGGAGGGAGGGGAGGGCCAAGGGGAGGGAGGGAGGAGGGAGGGGATGGCAGGGGGAGGGAGGGGAGGGGAGGGGTGGCCCACGAGGTGCTGGTCGACGGCAAGGGGGAGCCCTGCTACTGCCTGGCGGAGGTGGCCCCCGCCGACGGCCGCCTCGCCGCGGCCGACGCGGCGAGGCCCGCGCGGGAGGAGCCCTCCGCGGGCGACCTGGACCCGCAGCACGCCGCCGCCCTGCTCCGGACGATGGCGGCCGCCCTGCGAGGCCCGGGCGCACTCCGATCCCAGACCGCCTTCCCAGACATGCTCGCGTCGTAAAAAAGTCAGGACGGGAGGTTTTTGCCCACTCTCGGCCTCGGGGGGCCCTCGCCGGGCCTCGGGACCGTCCAAGGTTGACTCAGGGCGGAGAACCGGCCCCGGGGAAAGGGTCGTTTCTTCTGGGGACGCCGTTTTCAAAAAATCAGGACGTCGCATGTCTGGGTTTGAGCCGTGAAGACGAATTGCGAGAGGCCAGGGGGGACCTGGTAGAGAGGAAGGCCCCCACGGCGGGCCCAGGGGGCCCACCAGGAGTCATGCTGCCACACACACACACACACCTACACACACGCACGCACAAGCACAAGCACAAGCACAAGCACAAGCACAAGCACAAGCACAAGCACAAGCACAAGCACAAGCACAAGCACAAGCACAAGCACACACAATGCGCCGGCCACATCATACCCCACTCCGAGCCCAGACCCCCTCGAGCCATGAAAAAACCACGGCTGGAGGTTTTTCACCATTTTCGGCCACCAGGGGCCCTCGCCGGGCCCCGTGGCCGTCCAAAAGCGACTCGGGACGAAAAGCCGGTCCTGGGGAATGGGTCGAGACTTCCGGGAGCCCCATCTTTCGACTACGCGTAGGAGTGACCTTTCGCCGGAGTGACCTTTGGTGCGGGCCCAACAGGGTCCCCCGAGCGCGGAACGCGATGCGGTAGCAGCGTCTTGCGCGCTTGTGTGTTGGTCCCCCCGCGGCCCCGAAGAAGCCGCGCACTAAAGGTCACTCTTACCCAGGGTCACTCTTGCGTGTAGCCGATTTGAGCCTTTAAAACAAATTGCGAGAGGCCAGGGGGGACCTGTAGAGAGGAAGACCCCCACGACGGGCCCAAGGGGCCCACTAGGAGTCACGCTGCCACACACACACACACACACACACACACACACACACACACACACACACACACACACGCACAAGCACACACTGCGCCGGCCACATCATACTCCACTCCGAGCCCAGACCCCCTCGAGCCATGAAAAACCACGGCTGGAGGTTTTTCACCATTTTCGGCCACCGGGGGCCCTCGCTGGGCCCGGGGCCGTCCAAAAGCGACTTGGGACGAAAAGCCGGTCCTGGGGAATGGGTCGAGACTTCCGGGGGCCCCATCTTTCGACTACACGTAGGAGTGACCTTTCGCCGGAGTGACCTTTGGGGCGGGCCCAACAGAGTCCCCCGAGCGCGGAACGCGATGCGGTAGCAGCGTCTTGCGCGCTGGTGGTTGGTCCCCCCCGTGGCCCCCCAAAAGCCGCCAGCCGCGCACCAAGAGGTCACTCTTTTTTTTTTTTCTTTTCCTTTCTTCTTTACCCCCCCTCGCATGGCCGTCGTTCGCGTATGGCCTCAAGGCGGCATTGTCCCCATATTTTTTTCTTTTTTTTTTCTTTTTTTTGGTCTTTTCTTTTCTACATCTTCCCCATGTCCTCCTCCTCCCTTCCTCCTCCCATCACCCTCCTCCCTCTTCCTCCTTACTCCCCTCCAACCCACCTTTCCCAGTCCTCTTTCCATCCTCTATTCCGCCATCCTCCTCCTCCTCCTCCTCCTCCTCCTCCTCCTCCTCCTCCTCCTCCTCTCTCCTCTCTCCTCTCTCCTCCTCTCTCCTCCTCTCTTCTCCTCCTCCTCCTCCTCCTCCTCCTCCTCCTTGCGTGTGGTCGAGCATTGAAGAAATCACGACGTCGGATCTCTGCGGCCGGCACCGCTGCTCTGCGCCTGGGCGCGGCGGCTCACCTCCGCTTTTCGGCCCGGCTCCGCACAGATGCGGGTGGGTTTTTTCCACTACCGCCACGAGTTGGAGGGAGGGGTCCTCCTCCTCATCCACCTCCACCTCCTCCTCCTTCTCCTCCTCCTCCTCCTTCTCCTCTTTGTCCTCCTCTCCTCGTCCTTCACCTCCTCGACCTGTCCTCCTCCTGTCCTCGTCCTTCACCTCGTTTCTCCGAAGGGCTTAGGCGACCTGTCCTCCTCTTCCTCCTCCTCCTCCTCCTCCACCTCCTCCTCCTCCTCCTCCTCCTCCTCCTCCTCCACCTCCTCTCTGTCCTCCTCTCCTCGTCCTTCACCTCGTTCCCCCCTCCAACTGATGGTGGTGCTGGAAAACGGGCCCATCAGATGCGGGTGGATCCGACGCACGCTCCGAGTCGACCCGGCTTCCTGATGGGACGTTGGCCGCTCCTGCAGGAGACCCAAAGGGGTACATGTCGGGCAACGAGCTCCGGAAGCTTCTCGACGAGCGGCACCCGGAGGTTGTGAAGGAGGCTAAGGCGTGCCTGAAAGGCAAGGGCTGGCTCAGGAAGATTTTGGAGTCGGATGGGCGGATCTACACAGTCGAGGTCTAGGGGTAATTAGAAGACGAAGGAGGAGGACGCTGGGGATGCGGAGGAAAGGTGGAGAAGGATTAATCTGCTTGGTGCCTCAGTGGCTTCATTATCTACGGCCCGAGACACTGGCGAGGTGATCGTCTGCTTCCCATCATGCCGATTCTCCTGTTCTCCACAGCAGTGGTTTTCGAAGTGCAGGCTGCTATTTCATCCGCCCGAGGTCGCGCGAGTAGTTGCACGCGGTTGTTGTTGTTGTTGTTGTTGAACATTATTAATTCTAAAGAATAATTATTGTTGGGACCCCTGGTGCACGGCCCCCCTGCGCCGCCTAGGCCGCAGCTACATTTTCATCATTTTCGTGAGGAAGCCTCCGGTAATTCGATGTGATCAAGATCCGGTTGTTTTGTTCCCCCCCCGCTTTCCCTTGCAAAAAACACTATAAAATGACATTTCTTGTTCTAATATAATCAAAATTCAAGAATCCCTTGCAAAAAATAAGGTAAAGTGGACATTCGCGCGCGCAAGACGAAATCCTTCCAAAAGCTTAGTGTTCGGAGCGATTTCAACATAAAAACATCAAAAAACCAATGGTTTTTCAACAAAAAACATGTCAAAATCTCATCCCGCGCGCTCTTGCGGATTCGTAGGAAACCCAACACTTTTTAAACATTCCTGTCAAACGGGCTTTTGCGAGCAACTTTTTCGAACTTCTGCGACAACGGTTGCGCACCTGCCAGGGCCATCATCCCTGTCAAATAATACCATGCGGGACACATTCGTTTTTTCTTCGCGCGCGCACGCCGAAATCTCCAAAAACCATTGGGTTTTTTAAGAATTTTAGCACCGCGCATCATAAAATCACACGAATCGCACCGTAGTCCTCGAAAAACACCTGCACGACTTTTCAAAATTTCTACCCGCGGGGGGGGGGGGTCCCCCGCCCGCTTGTCCGAATCCAAAAAGAAACAATGGTTTTCCCACATTTATGTTACATGAGCTCGCGCGAGCTAAATCATATGCAACGATGTTCTGGTGTACGGAGCTTACAACTTCTTGTGGGTTACAGGCCTTACAACTTCTGTGGGTGTAACAACGTAGGCTTAACAACTTCTGGGTGTGTACTCACGCCAGTGTAGTAGCCACGGTCGTCCGAAGCCACGAAGTTGAAGTGTCCGAACGTCATAGGGCGGAAGCTTGGTGTGGGTGGTGCGAGAGTCTGTGGATATTTGGTATAGCCTTGCACTGCCCCCCCACAAGTGGGGTAGATGCTGATCGCAGAAACCCTGCAATGGCTCGATGAAGGGCATCCGTGTAAGAGTTGTTGTTGTTGTTGTTGTTGTTGTTGTTGTTGTTGTTGTTGTTGTTGTTTTGTTGTTGTTGTTGTTGTTGTTGTTGTTGTTGTTGTTGTTGTTGTTGTTGTTGTTGTTGTTGTTGTTGTTGTTGTTGAACATTATTACTTCTAAAGAATAATTATTGTTGGGACCCCTGGTGCACGACCCCCCCGCCGCGCCTAGGCCGCAGCCTCATTTTCATCATTTTCGTGAGGAAGTCTCAGGCAAAACGGGTTGGTCCGGATCCGGTTGTGTTGTTACGATCGGTTTTCCCTTGCAAAAAATAAGCTAAAGTGGACATTTCTTGTTCTAACATAACCAAACTTCAAGAATCCCTTGCAAAAAATAAGGTAAAGTGGACATTCGCGCGCGCAAGACGAAATCCTTCCAAAACCTTAGTTTTCGTAGCGATTTTAACATAAAAACATCAAAAAACCAATGGTTTTTCAAAAAAAAATGTCAAAATTTCATCCCGCGCGCTCTTGCGGATTCGTAGGAAACCCAACACTTTTTAAACATTTCTGTCAAACGGGCTTTTGCGAGCAACTTTTTCGAACTTCTGCAACAACGGTTGCGCACCTGCCAGGGCCATCATCCCTGTCAAATAATACCATGCGGGACACATTCGTTTTTTCTTCGCGCGCGCACGCCGAAATCTTCAAAAACCATTGGGTTTCTTAAGAATTTTAGCACCGCGCATCATAAAATCATACGAATCGCACCGTAGGTCCTCGAAAAACATCTGTACGAATTTTCAAAATTTCTACCCGCGCGCGCTGTCCGAATCCTAAAAAACCCGCTGGCCCTGAATAGTAGCCAAGGTCGTCCGCATGCCACGAAGTGAAGTGTCCGAACGTCATAGGGCGGGAAGCTGGGTGTGGGTGGTCGCGAAGAGTCGTTTGGAAGTTTGGTAGAGCTTGAGCTGCCCCCCCCACAAAGTGGGGGTATTGGCCGGCGTCCCATGAAAACCCTGGCACTGGTGAGAACGGTGTGTCCCCACGTGCTAGTAATTGTTGTTGTTGTTGTTGTTGTTGTTGTCGTGCGTGCATGTCAGAGTTTCTTCGGACCATCGTCGTCGTCGTTTTGAGATCCATATGTCTTGGGTCATGGGTGGGTGGGTCACGTCCAACAGGCTTCAAGTTTGGGTTAGTGGACCCTAAACCCTAAGAGCTAAGAGCCTATACATTTTCATATCCTAAAATGCCTTATGCCCTTATAGATCACCCAAGGAAGGGCTACCCTAGGGCTACCCCTAGGGCCTACCCCTAGGGCTACCTTAGGCCTACCCCTAGGGCCTACCCCTAGGGCTACCCTAGGCCTACCCCTAGGGTCTACCCCTAGGGCTACCCTAGGCCTACCCCTAGGGTCTACCCCTAGGGCTACCCTAGGGCTACCCCTAGGGCCTACCCCTAGGGCTACCCTAGGGCTACCCCTAGGGCCTAGGGGCTACCCTAGGGCTACCTCTGGGGCCTACCCCTAGGGGTACCCTAGGGCTACCCTAGGGTGTCCAGTAGGGCCTATCCTTGGGAAGCCTAGGGCCTTCAGCATGTGTAATCCGCCACATAAGCAAGCAATGCCTTTAATGTCCCGCCCGCCCGCCCGACAAAAGGAATCAGCTTGTAATCCGCCATAATAGTAATCAACTTGCAATCCGCTGCCAAATGGAATCACTTTGTAATCCGCCACGAAAGCAATCAATGCATTTAATGTCCCGCCCGCCCGCCCGACCAAAGGAATAAGTTTGCAATCCGCTGCCAAAGGGAATCCATTTGCAATTCACCACACAAGCAATTGTTGCCTTCAATGTCCCGCCCGCCCGCCAGGCAAAAGGCGCCCGACCAAAGGAATAAGTTTAAAATCCGCTGCCAAAGGGAATCCATTCGCAATTCACCAAACAAGCAATCATTGCCTTTAATGTCCCGCCCGCCCGCCAGACAAAAGGAATCAATGTGTAATCTGCCACAATAAGAATCAGTTTGCCATCCGCCACACAAGCAATCAATGCCTTTAATGTCCCGCCCGCCCGCCCGACAAAAGGCATCAAGTTGTAATCCGCCACAAATGGAATCTACTCGTAATCCGGTACCAACGGGAAGCAATTGGTAATCCACCACACAAGCAAGCAATCAATGCCTTTAATGTCCCGCCCGCCCGCCCGACTAAAGGCATCAAGTTGTAATCCGCTACCAAGGGGAATCAACATGTAATCCGCCACCAAAGCAATCAATGCATTTCATGTCCTGCCCTACCCGCCCGACGAAAGGAACCAGTTTGTAATCCGCAATAAAATGACTACCCCTAAGGCCCACCCCTAGGGCCACCCTAGGGCCTACCCCTTGGGCCTATCCCTCGGGCTACCCTCCCTCTGCGCGCGGCCGACTCTGAGCCTAGGGTAGCCTACCCCAGGGGGGGGGCCCCAGAGGGGGGGTCGGCGAGGGGGGGTCCCAGAGGGGGGGTCTGCGAGGGGGGGTCCCAGAGGGGGGGTCTGCGAGGGGTGGTCTGCGAGGGGGGGTCTGTGAGGAAGGGGGGTCAGCGGGGGGGGTCAGCGAGGGGGGGCCCCAGAGGGGGGGTCAGCGATGGGGGGTCAGGCGAAGGGGGTGTCCTGCGAGGGAGGTCAAGCGAGGGAGTCCCCTGTGAGGAGGGGGGTCGCCAGAGGGGGGGTCAGCGAGGGGGGGTCCCAGAGGGGGGGTCAGCGAGGGGGGGTCAGCGAGGGGGGGTCAGCGAGGGGGGGTCAGCGAGGGGGGGTCTGCGAGGGGGGGTCAGCGAGGGGGGGTCTGTGAGGGGGGTCCCAGAGGGGGGGTCAGCGATGGGGGGTCCCAGAGGGGGGGTCTGCGAGGGGGGGTCTGCGAGGGGGGGTCAGCGAGGGGGGGTCTGGTGTGAGGGGGGGGGGGTCCGGAGGGGGGTCAGAGCGAGGGGGGGTCCCGAGGGGGGGTCCCAGAGGGGGGTGGGATCAGCGAGGGGGGTCTGCGATTGGGGGTCGCGCGGGGGTCCTGCGAGGGGTCCCAGAGGGGGGTCAATCGGGGGGGGGTCAGCGAGAGGGGGTTCGCGAGGGGGTTCGTGGCGATTGTGGGTCAGAGCGGGGGGGTGTCTGCGGAGGTGGGGTCAGCGAAGGGGGGTCTGCGAGGGGGGTTCCCAGAGAGGGGGAATTGTGATCTGGGGCGTTTTGGGGGGGTCAGCGAGGGGGGTCCCAGAGGGGGGGGTCAGACGAGGGGGGGTCAGCCGAGGGGGGGTCTGCGAGGGGGGGTCCAGCGAGCGGATGGGGGGGTCTGTGAGGGGGGGTCAGCGAGGGGGGGTCCCAGAGGGGGGGTCCCAGAGGGGGGGTCCCAGAGGGGGGGTCAGCGAGGGGGGGTCCCAGAGGGGGGGTCAGCGAGGGGGGGGTCAGCGAGTGGGGGTCAGCGAGGGGGGGTCTGCGAGGGGGGGTCAGCGAGGGGGGGTCCCAGAGGGGGGGTCTGCGAGGGGGGGTCTGCGGCGCCGGGGCCGCGGTCGCCGGGGGGCGGCGCGGGCGCCCTGCCCTCGGAAGGGGGAGCGGGGGGGGGGAAGCAGGGGATCGAGGGAGTAGCGAGGGAGGAGGAGGAGGAGGTGGAGGAGGAGGAGGAGGAGGAGGAGGGGGAGGAGGAGGAGGAGGAGGATGAGGAGGAGGAGGAGGTGGCGGCGGAGGCGGAGGAGGCGGCGGGAGCAGGGGGGAGGGAGGAGGCGGGCGGACGGAGTGAGGAGGGAGGAGGGAGGAGGCGTGCGGAGGGAGGAGGGAGGAGGAGTCGGAGGAGGAGGAGGAGGAGGAGGAGGAGGAGGAGGAGGAGGAGGAGGAGGGGGGCCCAAGCCCAGACCTCCTCGAAGACCGAGGGCCGAGCAGGTCTTCGTCGGTCCTCGGCGTCTCCCTCGCGTCGGCGTGCGCTCAGGAAGGCGCGCCCCGCCGGGCACGCTCCAGGCCCAGACAGTCGTCGTTGTCGTCGTCGTCGTCGTCGTCATCGTCGTCATCGTCGCCCTCCGCCTCCCCCTCCTGCTCCTCCTCCCCCTTCTCCTCCTCTTCCACTCCCACTCCGCCACAAAGGGCATCAATATGTAATCCGCCAGCAAAGCAAGCAATGCCTTTAATGTCCCGCCCGCCCGCCCGACCAAAAGAATCAGCTTGTAATCCGCCACAATAGTAATCAACTTGTAACCCGATTCCACATGGGATCACTTTGTAATCCGCCACCAAAGCAACCAATGCTTTTAATGTCCCGCCCGCCCGCCCGACCAAAGGAATCAGTTTGTAATCCGCAATAAAAGAGAATCCATTCGTAATTCGCCACACTAGCAATCATTGCCTTTAATGTCCCGCCCGCCCGCCCGACAAAAGGAATCAATGTGTAATCTGCCACAATAAGAATCAGTGTGCCACCCGCCACACATGCAATCAATGCCTTTAGTGTCCCGCCCGCCCGCCCGACAAGAATAATCAGTTGATAATCCACCACACAGGGAATAAATATATGTAATCCGCCACCAAGGCAACCAATGCTATTAATGTCCCGCCCGCCCGCTCGACCAAAGGAATCATATTGTAATCCGCAATAAAGGGTTACCCCTAGGGCCTACCCCTAGGGCTACCCTGGGGCTGCCCCTGGGGCCCACCCCTAGGGCTACCCTGGGGCTACCCCTTGGGAAGCCTAGGGCCTTGGGTAGGGCCTACCCTTGGGAAGCCTAGGGCCTTGGGTAGGGCCTACCCTTGGGATGCCTAGGGCCTTGGGTAGGGCCTACCCTTGGGAAGCCTAGGGCCTTGGGTAGGGCCTACCCTTGGGAAGCCTAGGGCCTTGGGTAGGGCCTACCCTTGGGAAGCCTAGGGCCTTGGGTAGGGCCTACCCTTGGGAAGCCTAGGGCCTTGGGTAGGGCCTACCCTTGGGAAGCCTAGGGCCTTGGGTAGGGCCTAGGGTAGCCAAGGCCCCCGGTGATCTATACCCTTATGCCGGCCTAAAGCAGCCCCTTATGCCGCCCCCCATTTCGGCGCACTCCTCACGCAGATCCTTGCCCTCGGAGTGCCAGGAATGGTGCTGCATCGCCAAGGCGTCGGTCAGTTGCTGCGGGGCGCTAGTCGTTTTGCCGCTTCGCGCGCGCGCGTCGCATCGCCCTTGCATCGGCCTTCGCGCACCGCGCCGCATTGCTAAGGATGCGAACTGGGGATCCGTTTCCTCAAAGCAACGGGCTATCCCGCGCTCGTTGCGCAGCCACTCCAGGCAATCTCACCGCCGCTGGGCGGCGCCCCTGCGACGCACAGGGACTCGCGTAAATATACGTTGTTCTTCAAATCGCGTCGTCGCGCGCGTGCCGCATCGGCGTTGCAGCGGCTTCCCAGAAGACTTTGCGCGACTGTCGTCGTCGTCGTCGTCGTCGTCGTCGTCGTCGTCGTCGTTTTGAGATCAGTATCGTCGTCATCGGTATCGTCGTCGTCGTCTTGAGATCCATATGTCCTGGGTCATGCGTGGGTGGGACACGTCCAACAGGCTTCAAGTTTGGGCTAGTGGACCCTAAGAGCTAAGAGCCTATACATATTTACCCCTCATGACGCCCCCAATTTCGGCGCACCCCTCGCGCAAATCCTTGCCCTCGGAGTGCCAGGAATGGTGTTCCGAGAGCTTTTGCAAAACGCAGGGCGCACTCCTCACGCAGATCCTTGCCCTCGGAGTGCCAGGAATGGTGCTGCATCGCCAAGGCGTCGGTCAGTTGCAGTGGGGCGCTGGTCGTTTTTGTCGCTTCGCGCGCGCGTGCGGGCGTCGCATTGCTAAGGATGCGAACTGGGGGTCCGTCTCCTCGAAGCAACGAGCTATCCCGCGCTCGTTGCGCAGCCATTCCATGCAATCTCACCGCCGCTGGGCGGCGTCCCTGCGACGCACAGGACTCGCGTACATATACGTTGTTCTTCAAATCGCGTCGTCGCGCGCGCGTGCCGCGTCGGCGTTGCAGTTTCTTCCCAGAAGACTTTGCGCGACCGTCGTCGTCGTCGTCGTCTTGAGATCCATATGTCCTGGGTCATGCGTGGGTGGGACACGTCCAACAGGCTTCAAGTTTGGGCTAGTGGACCCTGAGAGCTAAGAGCTAAGAGCTTATAAGTATTCATATCCTAAAATGCATTATGCCGCCCCCCATTTCGGCGCACCCCTCGCGCAGATCCTTGCCCTCGGAGTGCCAGGGATGGTGTTCCGAGAGCGTTTGCAAAACGCAGGGCGCACCCCTCACGCAGATCTTTGCCTTCGGAGTGCCAGGAATGGTGCTGCATCGCCAAGGCGCCGGTAAGTTGCTGCGGGGCGCTAGTCGTTTTTGTCGCTTCGCGCGCGCGTCGCATCGCCCTTGCATCGGACTTCGCGCACCGCGCCACAGTGCTAAGGATGCGAACTGGGGGTCCGTCTCCTCGAAGCAACGAGCTATCCCGCGCTCGTTGCGCAGCCACTCCATGCAATCTCACCGCCGCTGGGCGGCGTCCCTGCGACGCACAGGGACTCGCGTACATATACGTTGTTCTTCAAATCGCGTCGTCGCGCGCGCGTGCCGCGTCGGCGTTGCAGCGGCTTCCCAGAAGACTTTGCGCGACCGTCGTCGTCGTCGTCGCTTTGAGATCAGTATCGTCGTCTTCGTCATCGGTATCGTCGTCGTCGTCTTGAGATCCATATGTCCTGGGTCATGCGTGGGTGGGACACGTCCAACAGGCTTCAAACTCGGGTTAGTGGACCCTAAACCCTAAGCCTTACGGCCCCTGCTCAACAGGAACCAATGCCCGGAATTTGCCCCGGCTTCCCGCTTTTCGGAGCGGAGCGGCCCGCTGCCCGCCCGCGGGCAGCGCAGCGTGGCGTGTCGCCGGGGGCGCGGCGCAGGCTCGCAGTCCGGCGGCGTGCCACGCGCGGTCTCCCGCCGCGGCACGCCAGGCACGTGCTTTCGACCGTAGCTTCAAGTTGGGCGTGTCCCTCTACAGGGGGAATGTTCAAAAATAGTCCAGAAATAGTCAGGGGAAAATGTTTTGGGCAATGTTTGATCATGTGGGGGGTATTTCTGGAGTACTTTGTATGTTTCACCAAACATCTCCCAGTTGGGGGACACGCCCGACTTAACCGTAGCTTGTGGTACACACTGTTCATTCCTATTTCTTTGGAAGTTCTTTGACTTTTTTTGGGGGGGCCAAGATCCTTTCGCTTCTAATGCTGCCATCCTGGGCCTCTTCCTGGGCACTAGGGGGCCAGGGACAAGTAGGAACGAACGCAATTAGAAGTGAGCACGATTAGGGATGAACGACGTGTATGCAGGGCTCATGAGATCCGCCGAGCGCGTGGTTTCGACCGTATCTTTGTGGAGGACGATCAGTGGAGAGGAAGCTTGCTGCCAAATAATGCCAACATGCTTGAAAACATTGCTTAAACATGTAGAAAACATGTTTAACATATGTTTAGAACATTTTCCTACATTTTAAGCACATGCCACATTCAAGGATAACACTGTTAGGGTGTCCACTGTCGTGGCCCATGAGATCCATGTGTGTTTTTTGTTACGTGTGCGCGACCCCCAGAAGTCCCAACCCTTTCCCAAGGGCAGTCTCTTTCACCCCGAGCTGTCTGTGGACGGTTCCGGGGCCCTGCGAGGGCCCCCAGGGGCCGAACATTGCGAAGAATTGCCGATGTGAGTTTTCAACACGTTGGAGGTCTGGGATCCGGCCCAGGTCCAGACGGTTGGCGAGCCTTGCTACACGCTCAACGCCAATTTCTCCGGTGGGACCCTGCTGAGCCCCAGCTCCGCGGCCGTCTGCCAGCCGAGAACCGGCGCCCCCGCCAACCTGGCCAAGCTGGACGAGATCCAGAAGGCCACCCTCCAGGCCGCGGCCGCCTCCGCGCTCGACGTTGCGGAGGATCCGCGTATGGAGCAGCTGCGTCGTACTGTCGGGAAGCTTTGCTCAGCGTGTCGCGGCGGCGGTTGGCGACATGCTATGCCTTGCGAGCGGACACCGTGTCGCTCCGCTCCGCGGGGCGGGAGGCTGGGAAAAACCGAAAACGTTGACGCTTGGGGACTGGGGCGTGGATACAGTCGGGCTGCTGAAAGAAGGAACGCCTGATAAGGAACGGAGCCCCTTCTTGGCCCTGTAAGCGCCCCCGTGCCCCAGGAGGGCACCAGGAACAGCACTGGAGGAACCGATAGGGAACAGCGAGCCCCCTCCGAACCCAAAGACTGCTCCCTGCTCCAGCGTCTCGACTGCCGCGCGCCGCGCCGAGTCGGCGGCGCGGCGCGCGGAGCCCGAGCCTGCAGAGCGCAGGCATCAGTTCTCTAGGAGGTCCGCCCAAAGTGCCTGGCTCTGCGCCTCGGGCCCCTCGTGGCGGCGCCTCGGCGCCGCCCTCCTAGGTGCGCGCTCCCGCGCGCCAGGCTTGGGGGGGGGGCCAGCGCCGATCCCAGAAGCCCGCGCGGACACGTGGAAGCTTGATGTCTAGCAGGAGGGGAAGAGAAACACACAAATCCATCGTCGACTCCCCGGAAGATGTGGGAACATATGCGAAGTGGGGGGGGGGGGCCCGGCGCCGATCCCAGAGACCCGCGCGGACGTCTGGAGAAGCTTCTGCTCGGCATCGCTCGGGCGTGTGCATATTTGTTTCCTCGGCGAGGACCACCGAGGAGACCCTCCCGGACCGGGCCCTCTCTGTGCGCGCTCCGCCGCGCCAGGCTTGGGGGGGGCGCCCGGCGCCGCTCCCGGAGGCCCGCGCGGACACACCGGGAAGCTTGATGTCTAGCAGGAGGGGAAGAGACACACAGAGACACCATGGATCGTCGACTCCCCGGAAGATGTGGGAAGATATGCGAAGTGGGGGGGGGGAAGACAGAGACCCCGAAAAGATGGGAAAAGATGGGGACTTCTGTGACCCTGGGCCCCTTCAGTCTCTGCCTCGTGCCCCTCTTCTTCTGCCAGAGGAGGGGTTCCTGCCCGGATCCACGCTGTCGAAGCTCATGGCGGAAGCCCACCCCGACGTCGTGTCGGCGGTGAAGTCCGCGCTGGGCGGCAAGGGGTGGCTGCGAAAGCTGTTGTGCGACCAGCCCGAGCTGGACGTCGTAGAGGCCCGTCGTCGGGGGGCAGGCAAGCCGCTCGTGGCGCTCGCCAGAATCCTGGCCCAGCCCTCCACTTCCCCTCTCTCTCTTCCCCCCTCCTATCCCCCCCTCTTCTCCTCCCTCTCCGAAGGTGAGCGCGCCTGGCCACGGCGAACCCTGCTACGCCATCCGCGACAGGTGGGACAGCCGGCCTGTTCGGGAAGGTGGCCCGCCCTCGCGAGAGCAGAGGCCAGGCACGGACCTCCAACGCGAGCTGCCACCCTTTCGAAGGGATCCCAACATGGCGGCCATGTCATGGCCTCGCCTTCGAGGAGCCGGTGGGCCACGGTGATCATGCTGCATCCTCGAGGGGCTCTGCCCCTGTCTTGTGAGCTGCGGTCTTTTTGGTGTGCTTGCCCGACGTGGGTTCGACGCAGATTCGGCGTGGACCCGACTCGGACCGGACGCGGCTCAGATGCGGAGGTGACACGGACTCTGCGCGGATGGCGGCCTCGTGCGAAACCGTGAGGAAGTCGGCAGTTCGTGATCCTCGTGGCCGGCGGATGCCCCTCGCGAGACGGCAGAGGCACAGAGGGCAGCCTCGCCGCAAGAAGCTCGGCGAACGGCGGGAACCAGCGGGAGCCCGAGTTGGCCCTTCGGGAGGGTGTTGGGAGGTGAGTACGAGGAGGAGGAGGAGGAGGAGGAGGAGGA